TGGTTTTCTTTACATTGAGTTGCAATCCATACTGAAGGCTGAATCTTTTATCTTCATCAGCAAATGTTTCAAATCCTCCTCACTTTCAGCAAAAAAGTGTACCACCCGAATATCAAAGTTTATTAATGAGCCTTTCCCTAACCCTGATGCTGCATTCTGCTTCATATAGTCCAGCGCCTCAGATTACTTGCTCTGCATACCTATTGAGGAAGTACGTGAAAGCATACCATGTTGACCTGTACTTTCCTGATTTTAAACCAGGCAACATTCCTTTGTTCTTGTTGTATGACTACCTGTTTATGAAGACTATGACAACATCCCCTTGTTCTTTTTGGATAGCTACCTGTGTGCAGGCTCCCCATGAGCACAATGAAGTGCTCTGGAATGCCCATTCTTCTCAATGGTATCCATAGCTTGTTATGATCCATACAGTCAAATGCCTTTGCATAGTCAATAAAACACGAGCAAGCACCTTTTTGGTATTCTCTGCTTTGAGCTAAGACCCATCTGACATCAGTAATGATATCCCTTATTCCATGTCCTGGCACCTCCCTATACATATACTTCTGCAACAGTTTATGAATTATATTTAACAAAATTTTACTTGCATGTGAATTAATGATATTGTTTGATAATTTTCACATTCTCTTGGGTCACCTTTCTTTGGAATGGTACACATATGGGCCTCTTCTCTCAGTTACCCAGGTAGATATCTTCCAAATTATTTGGCATAGATGAGTGGGTTTTCCCAGCACTTCATTGGCTGACATTTCAATTAGTGTTCCACCAATTCCTGGAGCCTTGTTTTTGGCTAATGTAGCCTTCAGTGCAGCTTAGACTTCTTTCCTTCAGTACTACTGGTTCTTGATCAGATGCTACCTCTTGAAATGGTTGAGTGTCAACCAGTTCTTTTTGGTAAAGTGGCTCTGTGTATTCCTTTCATCTTCTTTCAATGCATGCCCCATCATTCGGTATTTTACCCACAGAATGCTTCAATGTCAGCTTGAATCTTGACTTGTATGGTGTTCTGAATGTCAGCTCAGTTTGTCACATCATCTCTCATTAGCATTCAGTGCTTTAGATCTATTCTTGAGTTGCTCTCAAAATTTAAGTGGGATGTTGTCAAGGTCATAATTTGGCTCTTGTGGACTTTAAAAATTTTTCTTCAACGTCCACCTGAACGTACATATGAGCAATTGATGATCTGTTTCACAATTAGCCCCTGGCCTTCTTTTGGCTGCTGATAGTGATTTTCTGCATTGTCTCTTTCCACAGATGTAGTCAGTTTGATACCAGTCTACCTGGTAAGGCCTATGTGTACAGTTGCCATTTCTGCTGTTTCGGAAATGTGTTATTTGGGTGAACCCTCACTGCAGCTACAAAGTTTCTTTAAAGAGAGGTAGAG